AGCAAAGCCGCGGACAACGGCGCGACGGCCATCAAGAGTATGCCGATCATTGGGAACGAGCCGGGCAGCAACCGCAAAACCCCCCAAAAGCCCCCACACAGGCCCGCCAATGGTTTGGCCAACAAGCAAGTCAACAAGCAAGCCAGCAAGCAGGTCAGCATGCAAGCCGATAAGCGGGCCCAGAAGATTTCCAGCAAGAAGCTCAGCGAGTCAACGGGCAAGCAGGCTAGCAAGCCAGCCGACACGCCCATCAGCACACCCGCTGCTGAGAATCCCGCCAGTGGCCGCTGTATCTACTGTAAAACGATGGAGGAGTTGCGAGCGCTGGTCTGGGCCCCGATGTCACCAGTATTAGCGCAGCCCTTGGAGGTGACTGATCTTCCTACCCCGACGGCCCGTATGGCTCGCACGCAGAACCCTTTATTGGCGTTGAGTGAAGACACCGAAACAAAAGTAGAGAGATGGAGGAGGTTGGTCCCTTCGGCAGCATCGTCATCCTTCTCCGCGCCTTCCATGTGCCCAACGTACTCTACGGTATTTTCGATCTCAACTGCAAAGACCTCCTCGCGCGGCTCGTCCGGGTTTGGGTCTTCATCGTCTGTTTTCCGGTCACCGCCCCTGTCCGTCGCATCCTTGCCACTTCCCAAACCAGACACTGGCGTCAACGATCTCCGGCGCGCTGCATCCGACCCACTACCTATCATTTCAAGTTGCAGCGCTTCACCCCGCCTTCACAAACCCTCTGGACTTAATCACTCTCCAGTGCACGTTCGGGGCTGCACAGACATCGATGTTGTGACAGCTCTGGGTGACTTCTACCAGGATATCGACATAGCCTACCGCATCCCACCTGAAAAGACTGCCAAGAAACGCTCCATAGAGCGCTGCAAGCAGGCGATACTGGAAGCCGACTGCGATATCATGTTTGCCCACCGGAGAAGGTCGGCGGCCGCGGCGAAGTTGCAGCGCCTAGGGGTGCCGACGATCCTCTACCCACGGAGCCGGGGGTGGCTGCGGGTCAAGATGGGGGAAGAGAGAACCGCCTTCCTATTACGGGAGCAGATGGACGAGATGGGGCTGTCGCCGCTGGAGGACTACCCTGATGATTGCAAGGCGACCATCTTGCGGATAATGAGGATGCGAATGGCCCTGAGGTCCGAGTTCCAGTTCGACAGTAGAGGCTTCATCGACAGGCGGGGGAGATATACGCCGTTCGACCCGTCGCCTAGAGAAATGCTCGCTTTCTCGTGGGATTGGGTGGAGGAATTCTGGGAAGACTCGCTTTGGAGGGCACCGTGGTTGGGATAGGAGAGTGACGCAAGAGCCTCCCAGCTCTGCGCATTCCGTAGTCACCTGGATCGTTGCAAGCGATAAGACATGTAGATCTCACTGGCCACCGAACGCAAGGTGGGGGAGTGGAGTGGGCCGGCGGCTGGCCTGGAAGTGGATCTTCGGACGTGAGCACTCAGATCATTCGCGTTCCGGAGGGTGTGGGAGCAGGCACTTCCGACCACGAGGAGCACCGAGTCAGTGGACCCAAGTTGCTCGCGGGGACTTCGGCATCCAGGCGGCATGGCGCGGCTGACGCCATCCCGTTGAACAGCGCGTAGGTCAGTCGTAACGAAGCGACAGCGCCTCAGAGCGAAGGAACAATGACATCCCGGGGGTGTCGAACGGTGACATACCCGGTTTACACGCGGTGCAAACAGGGTTTGCACATTCCGCGAGCTCGTTTGTTGCGTGTCAGCGTGTCGGGACGGAGCATGCTGGAGCCTTGCGGGGCCACCTCGGCCTGTGACTGGCCAGCGGGGTTCGTTTATCTCGCTCTCGTCACCAGGAACACGACAATTAGCGCATGCAACCGTATGCCGTCCCTCTCCCATGCATCCAGACTGCTGTTGCATCCGCACTCGCCGATGTCCCCGAGGTGGAGACGAGATCGAGCAGATCCAGACGGAGCGGGTTAAGCGACGCTCACGCACGCACGATTCATTAATTCGAAATGACGCCATGGCGATCGCCTGCCGATCTGGCGGCGATCTGTCCTGATTGCATGGCGCTTGCCTCCATCGCCCCCCTCCCCGGATGCGGGGAATGCAAAAGCCCAAATGCCCAACGACAAACGAGGAAACGCCTCCGTCCAGCTCTCCGGTTTCGGAACGTTCACTCTTCCCTTCATACTTTATACACTATCACCTCGCCGGCTCCTACTCAATGGGCGCCACCGCTGTCATGCTCCAGACTCCGGCTGGACCGTCCCGTCCTCGCGCGCCCGAGGCGTCGAAGGTAAAGGTGCGTGTACATCGTGAGCGAGTCTGACGGATCAGGGCGTCAATATGTCGATGAAGCGGTCCCTCGCTCGTATGGTCTCGACGGCGATGCAAAACGAGCGACTAAAGCAGCAAGCGAAGGATAACGGCACCGCATGCGACCAGGAAGCAGCGACCGGAGTCAAGAGCGAGCCCGTGGTCGATGCGAAAGCGACGAACGTTGCTTCGGGAACGGCCAGCGGGCCAAGACCGAGGTTCTCACCACCACCCGTCGAAGCCGCGAGCTTGCCCACCGTCTCTCCGCCGGCTGAACGTACGCATACAATCGACGAGTTATCAAACCCGCTACACTACGAACCGCTGCCATCCCAGCGGCGAAGCAGCGAACCGACGAAGTCGTCGCTGGGCGATCTCTGCGTGGACGAGCTCCGGCGGAGGGTGTGCGAGCAACTAGAGCGTGAGAAGGCGTACGAGACCCTAGTGTCCGAACTCGAAAAACAGCGGCTAGACATGATGAGACGCGAGCAGTCTGCCCGGGCGCGGATAGCGGAGCTCGTAGCGGAGGGCGTGCGGATGGCTGCCTGGGCTGCTTCCTTGCGCGGCGTCGCCGACAGGAGTAGTATCGAGGTGCTGCAGCTACGTAACGACATTACGGGGTTGCAGCGCAGCCTGCAAAGGTCGGAGGGACGACTACACCGCGGCGAGGAACTGCGGTGCGAAGTCATGGACGACCTGAGCGCCGTCCTCAAGCGCCTGGCGGCGAGCCCAGGTGATGCGGCGGGCTCAGCAGTGCTCGTTGACATGGTGCTGGAGAAGGTTAGCACGGGGCTAGACTGATGCATCTTGTTGTACACACATGC